AAGAAAAAAAAAGAAATAACACCAGGATGGGAAGTGAGGGTACTGGAGTAGTGGCAGTAGTGATGGACAGATAGGAAAGAATACAAGAAGGAGATAATTCAAATGGAAAACGGAGAAGTGACAGTTGCAGGAATGTAGAATGAGACATATTTTTGGATGTGGCTTTTGTTTGTCTATGGAAATTTGTTTTGTTTAGCTGTGCATATTTGTTTTGTTGGCTGTGCATATTTGTTGAGAGGGTTTGGTTTTGTTTTTAAATGAGGGGAAAGTGGGAGGAAGAAAAAATAATGCTTGATAATTAAAAAGAGAAGAAAGAAAGTTAAAAAACAAAAAATAGTCCCCCAGAATAGTCAGTATTGGAGGAGTAGAAAGATGGGCACACTAAATGTATTGTTGGTGGAGCTATGAATTGGGCCAGTCATTCTGGATAAGTTTGGGATTATGCAAAGAGAGTGATTAAAGTGTCTTTACCTTTTGACCCAGAGTTTTCACTACCAGGCATATACCCTAGGGAGGTTAATGACAAAAAGAAATTCCCCACATACACTAAAATGTTTATAGTGTCTCTTTTTGTAGTAGCAAAAAGAAAAGAAAAGAAAAAACCTAGAAAAAATAGGTAATAGATTTTTTTTTTAATTGTGGTACCTGAATGTAATAGAATATTAGTGTGGTATCAACAACCATATGAAAAAATATTCCAAATCACTGAGAAATGCAAACTAAAACAACTCTGAGTTTCTGCCTCATACTCAGAATCTGATTGGCAAAGATAAAGAAGCTCTGAAATGATGGGCATGCTAATACCATATTGAAGAAGCTGAGAATTGACTCATCCATTCAACCATTCTGGAAAGCACATTGGAACCATATCCCAAAAGTTACTAAACTGTGCATACCTTTTGACCCAGTGGTACCACAACAAGGTCTATACTCCCCCTAAGAGAGAAAAGAGAAAAAAGACCTATATGTACCAAAATCTTTCTAGCAGCCCTTTTTTGTTATGGCAAAAAAACTGGAAACAGTGGTACCCATCAGTTAGGGGAATAGCTGAACAAATTATGGTATGTCAATGTATTGGAATATTATTGCACTGTAAGAAAAGACCAAAGGAAAAAATTTGGAGAAACTTGGCAGGACAAAGTGAAATAAGCAGAAGTAGCAAAACAATTTATACAATGACTGCAAAAATGTAAATGAAAGAACAACAATAGAATAAGAGAAATTTAATGCTTTGAAATTATAATGACCAAGATTGGCCCCATTGAAGAGATAGGAAAAGATATCTCACTCTTCCTTGCAGTGAGGAATACTGTATATGTCAGAAGTTTTCAATACATTGATTTGCTGAACTTCTTTTTTCCTTCTTCCCTCCTCAAAAGGGATGATTTCTAGGAAGGGATTAGGGGAAAGATAAAGTGAGTATTGTATGTGATGCAAAAACTTAGATGAATGGAAATAATGCCACTTTACATTTCTGCGCACATGACTCTATTACCAATTTCTGACTCTTAAGACCCTCAGACCTACACCCTACCATTTTTTCTGACCTGGTAATGCCACCCCCTTTCCTTCCTTCCCCCATGTCTTCCTGACACCAAAACTTTTAGCACTGGGTACTGAGCCATCGAAACCTGGGAAACGGTTTACTCCAGATCTTAAGGATTTGGCCTCCCGTGGTTTGACTTCCAGTTACTTCTCTGTTGGAGATGACAGAAGTTTGCCACATTCATCTTTTTAAATAATTTATCATGTCATACCCCTGTTCAAGATCATTTGTTCTTTCAACAAATATTATTGAGCACCAAAAACGATGATGTGATGGCCGTTGGCCTCAGCGAGTTTAATATAGGAGAGATGCCAGGTACAGCACTATAGTACAAGGTTTGCTGTGTGTAAGTATAATCGGAGAAATCCAAAGCTCTATTGGTTCAAGCCTAAATTCTTCAGACTGGTTTCAAGGCCTTCTGCAGTCTCTACCATACTTTCCAGGCTTATCTCACACTATTCTGTCACACATTTTTTCTCCTTCTGTGTACTTGGTTCACCCTATTCTCCCTGCTAGAAATGCTTTAAGGGTTAGGCTAGATTATTTCTTTGGTCCTTTCCAGCCCGAGATCCTGTCTGAGCCTGAACCATCTTTTTAGGTCTGGTGTCCATCATTCAGCTTTCCCTGACCATTCCATTCTGAACTGTCTTCTTCCTCTGAATGCCTGTGGTGTTTACTGTCTGTACCACGCCTTTTGCCAATTATATGATAAATCAGGGATATTCCTTTGTGCCTTTGCTTCCATCTCCAATCAGAGTGCATTCCTAGAAACACATTTTTAAAAAAAATACTGATATCCTTTGTTTTTACCTCATCTCTATTCCCCTCTTGTTATCCCATATAACAAATAAAAGGAAGGGGGGAGATGTACGTTTTAGGAAACAAACATATTAAAAAATGTTAACATCTTTGCAACATTGAGAATCCATCTTAGGCTTCTTGTCTCCTACATGCCTTGTATGTGTTGGTATATAAATTCACTCTGGTAGTGAATTTATTGAAAGCTAGATCCAGAAAGCAGAAGTCTCCATTGATTTGATCACTAAATGGCAGCAGTATTGCCTGTACACTTTAGGGATGTTGCTAAAGGCAAAGACAGCTACTTGCAAGCCCCATACTTGGTTTCTTTATCAATACCCTTGGAAGATCTTAAGTCTTAAATAGCTTCTTTCCTCAAAGGTGTTTGGGACTCCAATCTAGAATAGTATCTATATGAGGTTAGGGACTGTCAGGAGATAAAAACCATTTCTGGAACTTTTCACCAACATCATATTGTAGAAAGGTCACTGGTTTAGGTGCAGGACCTGACTTCTGGCTCTTTCTTAGATTCAGAGATCTGCACCAGACTTGCTGTGTGACTGCTAGCAAAGTCTCTCCACCTCTATTGGCCTTAATGTCATCTGTTATAAAATCAGATTGGTCTCAGGGGTGGTCTCAGAAACTGCAAGTTCCCCACTCTTGGGATCTTAACCTGGGGTCCATGGATTGAAAAAACAAATTGAGAACTGTATTTCAATATAATTAGTTTCCTTTGTAATTCTATGGATTTTGTTTTATGCATTTAAAAATATTGTTTTGAAGAGGGATTGATAAGACTTCATGGGACTGCCAGAAGGGTCCATAATGCAGAGGTGAAGAACCTCTGGTCTAGGTGATGTCTGAGGATTTTCCTGGCTTTCATGTTGTTTTGATCCTGAGATACCCTGTGAGTAGATTCTATGACATCTTATTTTACAGGAAATTTAAGCCAGTTAGTTATAACTCCATAGGTTGATGACACCTTGTTTTGGGGAAGAGTAAGAGACTTTAGGACCAAACTTTAACCCCTCAGATGTGCTTCAGAGGAGTAAACTTGAGGGATTCTTAGTGATTCAGATTTCTGAGTGGGAATAGCCAGCCATCTTGTGCTTCCTTGCATTCACAGCCTTGTAGAAATTAGAAATCTGAAATTCATAAACAGTTGCTAGCTGAGTGGGTTTATGGGTGAATGTCAGATATCTCCCCTTCTATTCTCAGCTGTTACCAAGAAACAAGAAACTTTCAAGAGAGGAAATGAAGTTCTTTACTCTTCACCATTTTCATTACCTGACTCTCGCTTCTACCCTACCATTTCTCCTGACCCCATGTGTGCCACCTCTTTTCCTCCTTTTCCCCACATCTTCCTGATAATCAACATCTACAGAAGAAACGACTGGTTTTAGCCAGAGAATTGCTTCGATCTTATAGTGCTGAAAGAAGACCAGAAGAATCAAAACCCTCACTGTCATTTTGTAGATGACTGCCTAATATCCTACTCGATAGAAAATACCTGGCCCTCTGAGGATCCCTCTTGCTCCTTTTTACCTCTAGGCCAGTGTTTTTTTTTATTGCCTGTATCATGAGATAATGAAAAAAGAGCTTAATTTAGAGTCAAAAGCCCTGCCTGAGTTTTCCATCTACTTACTGGTTGTGTGACCTTGAACAAGTCACAACTTCTCTTGGCTTCAGTTTCTTCATTTGTAAAATTAGGGGATTGGACTAAATTGTCCTTAAAATCCGTGTGTTTGAGGGAAAGGTTTGAGTTGCTGCAGAGAAAGTTTATTTTTTTTTCTTCTTTCTCCTGGTTCAGGAGTTTGCAGTTGACTGAAGGCCAAACCTTGGTTTGGAGGGCAGAAAACCTCCTAGCCATGTGTGCGGGTCCAGTGGCAAAATGAGGAGATTGAGAGAATGTCCGTAGCCATACTGTCTAACCCCTGAAGCAAGGGGCCCCTGTGTCATAGTCCTGAGAGTTTAACCTCTGCTTAACCTCTCTCTATCTCCCGACACAGCCCATTCCATTGTTAGCTCTGAGTGTTAGGAAGGTTTTCCCTTTATGTTGACCTGAAATCTCTGGGTCTTCCGCTTTGGGGTTCTAATTAAACCTTGTGGGCAGGCAGGACAACAGCCAGCAGATGTGTGTGGTGCACCAGTAGGCAGGAGTTCCTTTTCCATGTGACAGCGTTCAGAGCCTCCTCCACACCAGCTCTTCTCCAAGGGAAGCCTCTCCACCTCCTTTCACTGATCCTCAGACAGTATGGTCCCAAGGCCTCCTCACAGTCCTGATCACCTTTCTCTGCACATGCTACAGTTTGTCAGGGTCCTTAAAATGTGACTTGTAGAACTGAAGACGACATTATAGCTTTGGTCTGACCAGGGTGGAAATTAGCAGGACAAGCAAGCTCTCTTTCTAGCACACCAGATTTCTGTTAATGTAATGAGTACAAGTAACTGTGTTGTCTGGTTTGCCATAAGAAAGTGTTGGGATTTTTTCCCCCCTTGATTTCTTTCCAGTTTGTCCTGAGATTCTTCTCCATCTAATTCTCTAGTACGCAGCCTAGTCTGTTTCCTCTTTCAGGATCTAAAAGTTTTAGAGCACAGAAACTTAATTATCAGCCTTCTTGGTGTTGAAAAATAAAACCTCTTCCTCTGTCTTCAGTCCCACAGAATAGTGAGAAGCTGCAGGAGAGCCCATGCATTTTTGCGTTGACGCCGAGACAAGTGGAACTGATCAGAAACTCCAGGTACATTTACTTCACTCATCACTTTCCTGCCTATATTTAGGGTTCTCTTTCCTGAGTCGTTTAACTGCATAGCACTATGAGAAGTAAATTAGAGAAAACTGGACTATTTTATGTTGTTTCAGGCTTCTGTCCTACCTCATATGGTAGTGATCTCTAAATGTTATTAAACATGACCCAGAGTTCTGGAGGAATTTCCTAGAGTACCTGTGTCCTATTTTATGCCCATTAGTAAAGCTCAGAAGTTGATGTTGGAAAAGGGGAAAGTCACCGGTTTATGAAGCTGGCAGGGATCTCAGAATTAACCTAATCCTTCCCCACTCACCTTACCACTCCACCACACACATGATATTATAGAGGAGAAAACTATGGCCAAGAGAAGGTGATAAGTTTTTGACAAGGTGGTAAGTAGCAGGGCCAGGAATTCAAATGAAGTCTGGTGCTCTTTGCCCTGTATACTGTTGGCCTGCTGGTCACTCTTACAAAAGCACTGATAAGAACAACTGACATTTTTTTGGCTTTAGCCTTATGAAGCACTTACCTTACAGCTATGAGGTCAGTGATACAAATATTACTATCCTCAATTACAGGTGAGGAAATTAAAACTCACGGTGGCAAAGTTTCTTGCCCAGAGTCACAAAATGAGTAAGCATCAGAGCCAAGACAGAAGCCTAGCTTTTGCTTCCAAATCCAGCACTCTTCCCTTTAGACCATAAGAGCTAATTAAAGGATGGTCTTCAGATTAGAGCTCATTGTTGTTAGTAGAATCATGGGATTTAAGTTCAAAGGATACCTAGTTCAGTCCCTTTAACCTATAAAAGGAAACTGAGGTCCACAGAGGGGGACATCACATTAGTGCTGTAGCAGAGCTGGGATTTTAATACAGGTTTTCTGATTAGAAATCCAACAATTTTTCCACTACAACTTGTGACCATTGTGATCCAGTCACAAAAGGGATCGGCTCTACCTGAGGGACCAGAGAGCAGCTGAGTGTAAAGCCCAGAACGATGAACTCTTTAGGCCCATTCCCAGGAAGAGTTGGCATCTGAATGCAGTGTGCTATAGTCCTAATACTTTTGAACTGAGTCCTAGGCCTCACTGTAACATCTCTCAGTGCAATTTTTTTTCTTTTTTTTTTTTTTAACAAAGGTATATTTGCTGTGAAGATCCACCAAAAATAGAAGTACAAACAATTTCCCCCAGCACCCGAAGGAACACTCTCCTCGCAGTACATTCTAATAACTATCACCCTTCTACATGCTTTGTCTTCACCAAAACATGGCCTGGACTCTAGACTCTTCTTTTCAGAACAGTGATATTTCAGAAGTAAAGCTGAAATGACTGCTTTCATGTACTCTTTTGGGATGCCAGGTTAAATTTTGTAGGCTAGGGTCTGCATTGTAGGTCTCATGCTTTTTCTCGTGGCCAGCTTCCCTGTGAGGCGTGATGCTTTTCGGTATCAGATCAGTGCCCTGGCTGCTGTGCCCTGTGTGGTAGGAACCAGAGCCAGACTCAGGAGATTATCCTGCTTGCAATGTTTGCCTTGTGTTTGCCAACATAACTTTTGGGTACATATTTAGATGGTTCCTTCACTGAATCCAAATTCTTTCCTTATTTCTCCATCCTAAAAGCTACTCATGCTACAATGGGCTTAGTTTAATTTTTTCTCTACTCCTACCACTGGTACTACTTTGAAAAAAAAAAAAAACAAAACAAAACACAGCAAAGGTTGAAATGGCCAAAAATGGCTGCTGGAAGACCCAGGTTAGTCATGAATGTAACTGGAACAGACTTTAGAAACACCTTAATCTAACACCTTTTTAAGGGGGAGAAAAACCCTTATATACCAGATATACTATTTCCTTGGTTGTCCAATTGTTTGCCATACCATGTAGCTCTCCCTTGGTCCTATGCCCAAGTTACTGGGGGAGGCTCATAGCATCTTAGAGTAGGAAGGCCCCTCAGAGACTGATCTGTACCTGACCACATAGCCTCATGGACCACATTAGTTAAAGATTCTTCTAACTCTTGCTTAGAGTTTGGCCAATGTTTGCCAGGATGCTGTACCTCGAGTATTTGTGAGAATTTTTCTCATACAGTTGGAAATACCACCAGAAATGAAGCAGAAAAACAAATTGGCCAGCTTAGTGCATTTTGAGTTAAGGGACAGCTAGTAACTAAGTGGAATGTACCCAATAATCGGGCTGCAAAATCAAGGAAGAGAAAATATGGAATTGAGATTTCTTCAGACCAAGGTTCCCCAACTCCTGATCTTTGAGGTTGACTTCTCTCAATCATTTGATTGATAATCAAATCCAAGTTTCTTTTGCTGCTATGAAAGGCATGATAATCTATTGCCCTTTCGCTCTACTCAGAATCCCTATGATTCAAAGCCATGGACAATCTAGGCCGAAGATTGCTTCTGTGACTACCACTCTGTCTTCCCTCATACCCATTAGTGTCAGCTCCATTCCTCCAATGTCCTTGTCCTGCTCTTTCCTACCCTTTCTTTGGGCCCCTTGGAGCTCTTCATGGTAATAAACTGTCCTTGCTGTTAGACCTGTTCTTGCCTACCCCACCCTCCCAAAAAATAGTTGTACAAGTTTTCTCTTTACTTATATGTTTACTTTTTTCTCCCCTATAGATTGTAAGCTCCTTGAAGGCAGAGACTGTTTTATTTTGCATTTGTAGCCCAATGACAGGCATTCAGCAGATGTTCCTTAAATACTTGGGGAATGGACAGACTTGATCTGGTTATAGCACAAAGGAGGGTTTGTGTGAAAACCACTCACTGAAAGAACTCTGCACATTTGAGCATTGAGTAAAGGGTGGGTGCTGCCCTTGAGCTCCTTCCCTGCCCTATCCCATTTGGGGGAAGGGAAAAGTAGATGCTGTTACTGAAAAGATTTGGAGCCCCTGCCCTAGAGGAGGGTGTAAGCAGGAGAGAGCTTGGAGTCTAGAACAATGCATTGTGCCATTATCCAGCTGGCAAACTGCTTTACCACTTTGTACTCTAGTTTCTTTATCTTTAAAATGGCCATGACATGCCTGTTGGGAAGAGGCACCATGCTGTTACTCTGTGGTTCCATTGGTGCTTTCAGACCCGGCTGGGCCAGAGAAGAGTGCCCCTCAATAAGGATTCCACACATTGTGGGTTTATTCAAGCTGTTTAGATCTACCTCCTGGATGGATTCTGGTGGTGTGATGTTGTAGTATGAGTTTTTGATATTTTGGCTAAAGAGTTTGTGTAATCACCTTGAGCCATTTGGAAGAAGGCTACTACCTAGATTACAAGAGAAGATGAAAAGAAAAATAATATTGTCAATGTTGGATATAGTATTGATGTCCTGGAATGTTCTTTACCTTACTAGCTTCTTTCTTTTTCATTGGATTTACTTTGCCAGGGAGTTGCAACCTGGAGTGAAATCAGTTCAAGTGGTACTAAGGTGAGTTGTGTGGATCTGTTGAAGTCCAAAAGGCATATAAGGAAAAGTGACTCTTAGGGAAATTGAAAAGGAACTTTGCAGTGACCCCAGAAAGTTCTTTTGATAAGCAGCTCTTGTGCTAATGCAGTGCAGGAGAGAAAGCTGTTTGCTATCTGCAGCGTGTCTGCATCTCGCCTACTAACAATACGTTACTGATTCGGCTCGGAATAGCTGGGTTTGCCTAAGCCTGTATTTTAGGGGTAGATGAAGGCCTTGGGAAGTGGGGAGCTGGTAGTGTGTACTGGATTCTGATCTCAGAACAGAACTGGAGTCTCAGTAAGGGTGGAAGGGTATCGGTGGGGGAGTGAAGCATCACACAGTCCTTCCTTCTGTTGCAGAATCTGTTACACAGACACTAGCTGCCCCCAGGAGGATCAGTACCCTCCTAACATTGCAGTAAAAGTCAACCACAGCTACTGCTCAGTCCCGGTAAGTCATCCCAGCCTCACAGTATCACTCAGTTAGTTGGGTATTTGTTAAAGAGCCAGGTCTACTGCTGGAAAGAACTGTTAATACAGATGGGCTTGAAGGGAGGGGGAGGAGTGTAGTAGATATAATATTTAAAATTCATCATAAAACATACCCGACTGGGTGATGGTTTGGGTTTTTAAAAAATTAACTACATTTCCTTTCCTTCTCCTGAGCAAAATAAAGAAAATTTTCTGATTTTAGGGCTACTATCCATCAAATAAGCCTGGGGTGGAGCCAAAACGGCCCTGTCGTCCCATTAATCTCACACACCTCATGTACCTATCTTCAGCAACAAACCGAATCACTGTCACCTGGGGGAATTACGGAAAGGTGAGTAATATGACCAGTGGCTAGGTTGTACTGCCGAAGACTCCTCGTTCTATTCACTGACTCCTTGTCTCTCTTTCCAGAGTTACTCAGTGGGTTTATACTTAGTACGGCAGCTGACCTCATCAGAACTGCTGCAGAGGTTGAAAACTATCGGAATCAAACATCCGGAGCTCTGCAAAGCACTTGGTAAGTAGTTGAGCTTATTCCTGACAGGAGACTGAGAAACCAGGGAGGAGTCTGATGTTACATGTATCGTTACGTGGCTCCCCTGTGTTTGCATTTGGTCTCCTCCCCTGGGAGCTCTGGGACATTAATACCCCTAAAGTCAGTCTTGTTGCTGGTAGTATGGTGCCTATGACACCAGTTAAACAAAGTGGAAAAACCCTGGACTTAGAGTCAGGAGACCTCAATTCTAGTCCTGGCTCTTGCGACCTTGGGTGAGTCTTTCCCCTCTTTGGGTCTCAGTTTTCTGATTTGTAAAATGAGGGGATTGAACTATAATCTCTATGGTTCTCACTTCTTCCTCCACTGTCCTCTGTTCCCTTTTCCTATTAGTTTGCTGTGCCCATCAGAAACAAGCAAGCCTTTCTTCTTTTGAAGCTTTTGTTGATTGGAGTGAACCAAGTAGTAGCATATAACACTTCTTGCTAACCCTCTGATTGGAATTCCTTTTTGAGTTTAAGTATGTGAACAAAATGAAGAGCCCTACAAATATGGTTCCTGATCTGGTGACTTTAAAATTAAAGTCAGAATTCCCACCTTCACTTCTCATGGGACTTCTTTGGAAATTCTTTTAACTGACCAAGTGGGAGGAATGTTATAAGGACAATGAAACTTTGTTACTTTAGAATTGAGGTTATGATCATTTGGACAGGGTGGAATTGAAGTTTACCTTTGTGCAAATGTGAGGGGGAGGAACAAATTTTTTGAGGAAATAGTGTAAATGAAATTTTGTAGGGACTATCTTTCCTAAGGGGCAGCTAGGTGGCGCAGTGGATGTAGTGGTAGGCCTGAGAGTCAGGCCAACTCATCTTCCTGAGTTCAGATCTGGTCTCAGATACTTGACTAGCTGTGTGACCCTGGGCAAGTCGATTAACCCTGTTCATTTCGGTTTCCTCATCTATAAAATGAGCTACAGAAGGAAACTGAGGCAAACAGGATTAAGTGACCACTCCAGTATCTTTGCCAAGAAAACCACAGATGGGTTTTGAAGAGTCACAAGTGGCTGGAAAACTACTGAACAATGAATCTTTCCTAGTTTTAGAAAGATTCCTAGAATCTTTCCTAAGAGAAAAATAAACCAGTTGAAGGCATATCAACAGCATCCATTTGTAAAGAGTATGCTAGTCACACATTATTTTTCATTAAAACCAACCCTAAGGGCCTCTCCTAGCACCCATGTAATTTAATATATATACCCCAAAGTAATAAAATCTCTATCTCTTCGCTAACATTTTATATAACTCAGAGCGGCCCTCCCCATCTCCTCCACATGACTTCCCAGTTATTGAAGATTGACTCAATTTGTGAAATAGCCTAAGCTCCTTAAGAGAGAAGGCATTCCACTCAGTCACTATGATGCTAACCAGCTCTGTGACTTTGGACAAGTCACTTCTGCTCTACCTCAGTTTCATCATTGAAGTAAAGGGTTTGAACTAAATTAACCATAACGTCTAAAGTTTGGCAATATTTTTCCTAAAATTGTGCCTACAAAATAATATGGCTTATGGTAAACAAACATGCCAGAACCTGTACATCCAAATGACAGTTGTTTCCAAGGATGCTGCAGTTTTTCAGAACTTTCTGGAAACTTACCAGAAGAGTAAATTTAGAACTTGAAATAGAAACTTAGAACTTGGCCTCAGCCGTTCAGTTCACCCATCCAAAATCATGGATCAGAGGATTTTAAAGCCGAAAGGGATGTTAGAGGTCCTTTAATTAACCCTGTCCTTTTATAACTGAAGAAACTGAGGTGAAGTGAATTGCCAGAGGTCGCACAAGTAGCAAATGTCAGAGCCAGGTTTAAAACCAGGGTCTCCTCATACCAGGGCTGGCATTCCTTTAGGATACCTTGCTGCCTTTTGGTTTTCTTACAGATGCAGAAATTGAAAGACCTCCCTGAGAGCAGGGTCTATGTGTCCTATCTTTGTAAGCCAAGTACCTGACCTAGGGCCTTGCATATAGGTGCTTAATGTTTATTTTTTGAATGAAGAGAAAGAAATTGAGTCACCAAGGAGCACACAAGTAGTGATGGACCCAAGACTAGAACCCAGATCTCTTGACTCCTGGTAGAGTACTCTTTCAGTTTCCAAACAAAGCTGAGCTGCAGCAATAGATTCAAGTTAGCAGGCCTTTGACCTTGGGATCAGATTGGAAGGCAGGCTAGTACCAGAGCCTCTTGTGTCATTAAGGATCAGTACTGTCTTGGAAGACTTCTTAGGGTAGAAATTCTACAGCCTCCTCTAAAAAGTTTCCGTCAGCCCACAGGATGTCTCCTAAGCTAAACTATACTAATTTAGAACATTATACCTAAAACTAAGTTGTCAGCCCAATCTCCTAATGATCTAGATCTCAGAGGAGGCAGGGCCACTCCCCTATTTGTCTCTCACCTGCTTATTTGCTCCCTCCCTTTCCTCCTCCCCAAAGCATTGACCATTTCTGTCTCAAGACCTGCTCCCACAAGCCCATGTTGTGGTGAATTCCTCAACACAAGGGAGATTAATCTGTGTACTAGACACAGGTTTGGTGGGGCCTTTGCAGTTGGTTTTGCATTTAAAAAGGCCTGTGGGGGGGAAATACATTATCTACATTTCTCTGGCCTTGAGCATTGTGTGACAGGCAGATGGCACAGATTGCTTGCTCTATGAAATCTGCTGTAGCAGTTGTAGGGCTTGAGGAAAGATGAAACCCATGACTCCTTGAAGAACAGGAGGCAGCATGATATGTAGGGGAGGATTGCTGACCTCAGAGATGCTTAGTAATGATAGCCCTGGAGTTCTAGCTCCACCAACTAATTGTGGGACCTTGCACAAGTTATTCCATCTCTGTGAGCTTCAATTTCTTCATCTTCAACATGAAGAGTTTGGACAGGATAATCTTCAAGATCCTTTCCAGCTTTAACATGTTATCTCCATGAGCTCTTTCTGATCTTCCTTTCGTGGGACAAAAGCCCACCTCTCCAATCCACCTGGTTGGCAGCAAAGAAAGGAAAGTGGCTGCCACCCAAATCACGCTGTTTCTGGCCAATTAGCATTGGCCAAGAGAGTTAGGAGATGCCACTTAACCCGTCCTGTGGGACAGAAGGTAGGGTGGGGTGGGTTCATTGACTCTGTAGTGACAAATGAACTGAGGAGTTAGCTTGCTATACCCTAGAAAGAGGACTGACTTTAGAGTAAGGGCGTGTGGGTCTGAACCGCACTTCTTCTGTTACTACCTGTATGATCTGGTTCAATTCACCTCACCTCTTAGAGCCTCTATTTCCTTAACTGTGTAAAATGAGAGTGTTAAGCTTTAGTGACCTCTGAGGGCCCTTCTAGCTCTAAATCTGTGGGTATATATGAATTAGGAAGGTCCTTCTTGGGAACCAGTGCTGCACCTGAAGTTGTAGCAACTGTTATCTAGTGATTTAAGGTTTACAAAGCTGTAACGGCTCACAGCACATGCTGTGTTACTTACTAGACTGAAGAAGTTTAGGGCTCTGGACCATTACAGTTTTTCCTAAACCATGTAACCTGGCCAGTCTAATTAATTTCCTTCCACAAACCTAATCAAATTCTTATGCCTGAATTTCAGTATTTCACACTAGCAATCAGGATTTTTTTTTTCCTTTGGTATAACAGGAATTCTCTGGTCACAGTTAAGAGTAGCTACAGTTTTCTTATGTGTAAAAATGACGGAATTGGACTAGGTGATCCCTAGCATCATCTCCAACTCTAAAACCCATGACATGTACTTCTTTATCTGTCTTTTGTCTTCAGCCACAGTCTTACGTTGGGTGAGCTCAGGGTTACCTTCTAAAATATTTATCCCATCTATATCCCATTATTTACCATTCTTTTAATTTTCAGAGAGCTTTTCATTCCACAGTGAAATATCATCCTGAAAATGCAAATATTCCAGGGTAACATCACAAGACTTGAGTTAAATCTCAGTGTAAATTTACATCAGAGCCCTTCCTAAGAACAGGTTTTGCCAGGGAAATAGAAGACACTGTTAAAAAAAAAGTAAGGACACTAAGTGTCTGAGGAAGGCAAAGGGAGAAAAGGAGAGAACAGTAGTTTTCCCAGAGACTCAGCCTGGATCTGGCCACAGTACAGTGGACTGCTGGCTGAAGCCTAGCAAGTATTTAGAGAAAAATCTGAATTAGGAGGAATGTTATAGAGCACACTCTACTCAGTATAGGAATCCCTTCTGTAGTATCCCTAGCAGGTAAACAGTTGTAAAGACAGGTAGCTCATTACCCATCAGACAACAGTCCTGTTGTTGGACAGTTTTGCTTGTTAGAAAGCTCTTTATACAGAGACACTTTTTTTTCCAAGATAAAATTTTTTTTCCCACACAATCCACTTTGTCTCCCTTTCCCCTATTCCTTCCTCCTTCCCCCTGTGTTGAGAAAGCAAGAAAAAGAAAGCCACAGTTACAAATATGTATAGTCATAGGAAACCCTACATTGGCCATGTCCAGAAATATCTGTCTCAGTCTGCACTCAGTCCATCATCTCTCTATCTGGAGATGGGTAGCATGTCTCTGTCATAAGCTCACTGGAATTATTGGCCATTGGGTTGATCAGAGTTCCTAAGTCTCTCAAAGGTGTTTACAATGTTGTTGTTATTGTATAGGTTGTCCTCCATATTCTGTCTACTTCACCCTGCCATCAGTTCATACAAGTCTTTCCAGGTTTCTCTGAAACTGTCCCTTTCATTATTTCTTAAAACACAATGGTATTCCATCATATTCATTCACCATGACTCATTCAATCATTCCCCAGGTGATGGGCACCTTTCAATTTCCAGTTCTTTGTCCTTGCAAAAATAGCTACTATAAATATTTTCATAGATATGGGTCCTCTTTCTTTGATCTCTTTGAGGTATAGACCTACATAGTTTAATAGTTTTGGGGGTCATGGTTCCAAATTGCTTTCCAGAATGGTTGAACCAGTTTACAGCTTCACCAGTAGTGCATTAATATACCTGTTTGTTCACAGCCCCTCTAGCATTTGTCATTTCCCTTTTTTGTCAGCTTTGATAATCTGAAGGGTGTGAGGTGGAAAGTCAGAATTGTTCAGACTTGCATTTCACTAATTAGTGATGTGTAGAGTATTTTTTCATATATCTGTTGATAGCTTGGATTTCTTCCTCTGCCTGTTCATTTCCTTTGACCAATTGGGGAATGGCTCTTATTCTTGTATTTGAATCAGTTCCCTATATAGTTTAGAAATTAGACCTCTATCAGAGAAACTTGCTGCAAAGATTTTCCCCCCATTCACCTCTTTTCTAATTTTAGCAAACTTTTAAATTTTATGTAAATTATCATTTTACCTTCTGTAATCCTTTCTATCTCTTGTTTTGTTATGAGCTCCTCCCCTATCCAGAGATCTGACAGGTAATTTCTTCCTTACTTCCTTACTCCTCTAATTGATTTATGATGTCTCTGTGTCTAAGTTATGTACCCATTTTGAACACATCTTGGTATACCATGTGAGATGTTGGGTCTGTACCTAGTTTCTGCCAGACAACTTTCCAGTTTTCCTAAAAGTTTTTGTTATTTAGTGAGCTCTTGCCTCAGTAGCTGAGATTTTTGGATTTATCAAACACTAAAGCTACTGTACTTGTTTGTTTCTCTATACGTAATATGTTCTACTCACAACCAGAGAGGCACATTTGGACTCACTTCCCTCTCTCCACCCTCTGAGATGGCAACCTTTAACTCAATTCTTTCTTTCATATTGCAGTCCTTTAGACAGCAATCATTTCTTAGCTAAATCTTCTCTTCTTCAGATTCATCTCTTTTTGTCAGTCTTTCTTATATGGAATTTTCTCTCATTCAGGAGTCTCAGAACTTAGCTTTCCCTCTATAATTGTGTTTTTGTTTGTTTGTTTTTGAGGCAATGGGGGTTAAGCGACTTGCTCAGGGTCACACAGGTAGCTAGTACGTGTCCAAGGCTGGATTTGAACTCGGGTCCTCCTGACTCCAGGGCCAGTGCTTTATCCACTATAATTATGTTTATGTAGTCAACTTCTTAGTTTTTGGGACAGCATAAGATGGTATGGTATTCCCCTATTAGCTAAATTGAATACCTCCTCTACCAAGGTAGTATAATGGAAAGAGCATTGACCTTGGAGTCAGAAGACCTAGGTTTCAGACCTTGATTCTGTGAAACAACAACAATAATAACAACTCGAAAGCTTTTCTATAACATCCTATGAGGTAGGGCCCATTACTGTCTCCATTTTACAGATGAGAAAATTGATACTGAGAGGTTCAGTGATTTGCCTTAGGTCATACAACTGGTAAATGCCTTCAGATTTGAACTCAGGTATTTCTGTCTCCAGGCTCAGCACTCTCAGCCAGATCTCTAAATTGGGGATAATAGTACTTGTACCACCCACCTCACTCTGGTGTTTGTAAGGACCCATTAAGATGATGTAGGGAGAATCCTCGATAATAGAGCCACAGTGCACACAGGCTCAGAGGTACATTCCAGCCCGGTGGCTTGCAAGGTCCCCTTGACCTTGCTGTGGTTTCTGCAAATTATGCAAATGGGGGCCTCACTGAGCACTGGAATGTTGTAGTTGGGAGGGGTCATGACCCCAAGCTGCCCTCCAGTGGACAGACTCTCAACAACCCTGGGGTTTTTGTTTTGTTTTTCAGAATAACAGTAGTTACTGTGTATGTAAACAGTAGTTTACATTTATATATATACTCTTATTTGATTCTAATAACAGCTCTGTGGCCCAAATAGCTCAAGTAATAGTATTCTCATTGTACAGCAGAGGAAGGTGAGGTTGTGACTTGCCAGATACCACAGAGCTAATAAGTGAGGGAACCAATTTTTGAACTCAGGATTCTAACTCTTGAAGCATGGTACTGAAGTGCCAGACTGTATAAATTGAGGTGTGTTTATTATTAAAATATACTTAGTACATAAGTCTAAAACTATAAAATAAAGGTAATTGGTTATCTTACTGTTAGCATCTTATGCAAGTAATACTAATGATGATTTTTAAACATTAATGCTTTTGTCTGGTTGTCCTGTGACAGTCAGAGAGAAGCATTTAAATAGCAGTGTGCTCTGACAGAAGCTTTAGCTCTCTTCTATCATCTACCACTTTGGGGCAAACACTTTGAGACCTCACTCTCTTCTCCTTCCACCAGAATTTCCCCCAAGTCATCTCTCCCTCTACCATCCTCTTCCTTAAGAGGTGTCAGAAAACAGTGGCAAAGCTAGCAGTCATTCAGTCAGCTCTAAAGGAAAACTGAGTAATTCGTTCCCAAAACTCAGTGAATAGACTTTTCTGAGGTAAAAGTGTCTGAAGCATAATTGGCTCCCTTCCTTATTGACCCTGCCTTTAAGAAACTTAGTGTCTTGTTTGCTTGTATGTCTCCCCTTAACATGAAGTACAGTGGGTCGCATGTGGTAGAGGCTTAATAATGAACGAATTGTAAGCCAGCTTTTAGAATGCCTCCAGAAATATGCAGAATTTACATAGAATCGGTAAGTTCATAAGTAGCTGTTAGCTTGTTCTCCAACGGATAAAGTTTTTGAAAGAGAAAACAAAAATTATAGATAATCAATTGAAAAATTTAAATTTCAGAGAAATGCAAAATGAAATATCCTTGAAAGTATTGCATATCAATCTGGAGTTACACAATGAATTACAATATTAATCATAACCGTTAACCCAACAATCTTGCTATTATATCCTAAAGATATTATTGGGGGGAGGGAGGGGGGAACTAGCCATAAAAATATTCATAACTGCTTTTTTGTATGATGGTAAAATACTGTAAACCTCCCACGTGTTCAACAGTGAACAAATTGTTAATGTGACAGCATGTAATTGCAATGTTAAAAATGACAGATGTAAGAAATGAAATATGAAAAGACTTGCATTGTGTCACAAAGTAAAAAAAGCAGATTTAGAAGAAATAAACACATTTACTACTATTAAAAACAACATTAGGAGGGAATATTGAGTAAAGGGTGGTTGGTTGTTTTGGGGGTTTTTATTCAATCGAAGTCTTTATATTTCAGGAAAATTTTTAATGTGTGTGGTTTTTGCTTAGTTACATAATTCAGACCAGTTACTCGAACTATTTGTATACTTCATGATTGTAAATCTTTTTTTTTTTTTTTTTGCTTACCTTCAGTAATTGCTTTAATTCTCTTCACTTGTTTTGTATATGCACATTGAAGGTCTTGTTGCCACACAAATAATAAAAATATTTTAAAAGAGTGCTTCTAGAAAATGATTTTCTTTTCAGCCTAAGTTTCCAGGCTTTGTAGGCATGTTAGATTTTGACAGTGCCGCAGCTTCCAAATGACTACGGTATTTTCCTTTCCACATATCCCTTCTTTTCTTCCTACCTTCCACAAAGGTGGGACATCAGAGACTAAAAGAAAGCTCACACTTGCTTCCTCCCCTTAGGTGTTGTCATATACTCCAGGCCTATCTTGTGTGCTGTACTTATAATAGAGTTTTTAAAATTCTCATTTCTACTTAATTCTTCTTAGAGATCACCATTTGTGAGATCTGAGCTGCCCACAGGGCACACTTGTGCCTGGGTATCTCTTAAGGTCCAATACAACTTGAGAGACCAACAGAAGCCATTCTGAGACTTGCCTGAGTCTCACCTGACCTACCAGATTTGATGGCACCATGGCCTCTGTGAAGATCTGTTTATCAACAGCCCTTTTTTCCCTCCTTCCCCACCGCCCTGTTTTTGCAGTTTCTGGTCAGGCCATGTACCTGGCCAGTAGCCTAGTCCTGAACTTTGAGACAGAAATGTGAACCTCCTCGACAGTATTCCTTCTTGGGCACTCTGTCTTATGTGGAGATAGTAGGCAGGGGTTGAGTTGGGGGGTGGGCCTGTTGGAGAGCAGATAAGTGGGGAGAGGTTAGGAAGTTCTCCCCTCTCCTTCCCCTACTTCCCCCTGAAGGGGCTAAAGAAGCTGGCTACCCATATTCTCCTTAACTTGCATCTTCTGTATTTTACGACTTGTAATGAGGGGGCATATGAAGATCATAGGCTAGGGGCATCACATTCTGCTCAGCTCATTTCATTTCCTAGAGTGGACAAAAGGAGTTAGTGCCTACCTTTTCAACCTTTGTTGGCCTTCTTTTGTCTCTTCAGTCAAAGAGAAGTTGCGTCTTGATCCTGACAGTGAAATCGCCACCACAGGTGTCCGAGTGTCTCTCATCTGTCCGGTAAGTCAGAGCAAACCCTTGTGCTGCTTTGGCTGGAGGGTCCGATTTTCCCACCTCAGAGGAAATGAGGAAAGGAGGAGAGTCTCCTAGCCTTTAGGCCTTCTCTCAGGATATACCTGTCTCTTTTGGGAGAGGCAGGTAAATTCCTAGCAGCCATTCCTGGATTTGTCTCATAGCCTCAGTGCTGCTCTCCTCATTTTCAGTCATTTGACTAACCCATTGGAATTGATCAAGTGTGAGACACTCTATGGATTACAAGAGAAGACCTGGACCCTGCCCTCAAAGGACTTATAGTGTAGCTGGGGGTGGGGGGTTGGAGACAACATATGAAAGAAACAACTAGGAATAATTTTAAGACTGTACAGTCAAGTGTAAGACTAGTTTAGAGAGTTAAGTTCAGAGGATTGGAAGCATTGGGGAAGAGGTAGGACTGAAGTTAGATTTGCCTCCCCTTGAATAGTGCACTGGACCTCTGTATGCTTTAGAGTTCCACTGTGGTAGGAGAGGACTGGGCTGCTAGCCCAGTTATCTCTCTCCTAACTGCTTTCTCATTTTGGGTGTCCCCATGTCTGGCCTATAGCTAGTAAAGATGCGACTCTCCATGCCTTGCCGGGCTGAGACCTGTGCCCACCTGCAGTGCTTCGATGCAGTATTCTACCTCCAGATGAATGAGAAGAAACCTACTTGGATGTGTCCTGTGTGTGACAAACCAGCCCCCTATGACCAGCTGATAATAGATGGGTGAGTTTGCTTAGTAGAGTGCTGATGGCCTCATCACTTTGGGATTTTCTGTATTCATACTACTGCCCCTGGTAAAGTACCTTCAATTTTACACTTTAACTATCCTTGTTGGTTCTAAATGTGAAAGGATGTGCCAGGACCAGTTATTTCTTCTTTCTTCTTACCTATGTCACTAATATCTTAATAGAGCTGACCTTATCCCAGCCTTATAAGTAGTGTGGTGAGAGTATATTATTCAGGAGTCTAAGGCCATAGATTTGAATCCTCTGTTTGATACCAACTTTAACTGACCTTAGGCAATTTGTTTCCCATCTCTGGGTCCCAGATTCCTCCTACATTAAGTAAAAGCTAAATGAGATGATTGATCACTAAGGTTTCTCCTAAATTCTGTGACTAGCTTTCACTGTGGCATTATAAGGGAAGACATGGTCTGTGGTCTAGAAACATAAGCTATAGTTGAGTTCCGTTTTAGGAACCTTTGTTAAGCACCTAATGTGTGCGAGGTCCTAGAGATACAAAGACAAAAGGAAAGTTTTCCTTGTCCTCAACGAGCTTGTGTTGTACTTGTGGGGAATGACGTGGACACAGACAAGGGAACCCAGAGAGAGGGAAAGAGAGAATGTGAGAGTGTGAGAGAGAGAGAGAGAGAGAGAGAGAGAGAGAGTGTGTGTGTGTGTGTGTGTGTGTGTGCGCGCGCGCATATAAGTAAATTTCAAAAGAGAATCAAGAAAGGGAGGGTGTGGAAGGTAGTATGAGAGCCAGACTTTTAAAGAAGTAAGAGGCCTCCTAGAATGTGAAGAGTGAAGGAGTGCATTCCAGACATGGAAGATCACACGTGCATTCAAGGGCGTAGTGGTAGAAGATAGAAACTTCCATATGGGAAATCATCAGCCAAGCCAGCTTGACTTGGAGTTATGTGTAAAGGGGACCACTGTGAAATCAGTAGCTTAATTATGTTAGGCTTTAAATATCATGCTGAGGATTTTGCATTTGACCCTTTTTAAAGCAACAGATAGGGAGCTCCTATAGCTTCTTGAGCAGGGAATGACATGGTCAGATGTACACTTTAGGAAGATTCTTTGATAGCTCTGTGAAGGATTGATCAGAGATGGGAAAGACAGGAAGCAGATAAATTGAGGAGAGTATTGTATTAATTTAGGCAAGAGGTGAAGTCCTGAACTTCAGAGTGCTGTATGGGAGTAGAGAGAAGGGTATAGATGTAGAAGATGTTGAGATAGAATCATAAAAACTTAGCAGTTGATTAAGTGTATATGATGGGGGTGGGGTTGAGAGAAAGAGAGAAACTTGGGTAAAGAGAAGGATGGTGGTACCTTCAGCCAAAATAGGGAAATTAAGAAGAGGTGGAGGCTTGGCAAGGGAGTAGCAATTTCTTTTTTGGACATGTTGAGTTTGAAACTGCCTTCAAGGCATCCATCCAGGTAGAGATTTCCACTAGTCACTTGTTAACTTGGGACTAGAACTTGGACCTGATCTAAGATTTGGGAGTCCTCTGCACTAGGGATGATGATTAAGTCCATGGGCTCTGATGATATCACTAGACCGAGTGGAAAGGGAGGGAATAAGCCCCAGAGTCTGTGTCTAGGGCATTCCTTTGTTCAGGGGCTGAATGGATAGATACCGACCTAGTACAGGAGATGTAGGAGGGGAGAGGTCAGGCAAGTGGGAGGGGAAGCAAAGGAGAGCATGTTATTGGGTGGGGGGGGGAAGAGGGAGATAGGGAGGGAAGGCAGGAAAGCATCCAGGAAGGGACATTGATTTGATAGTGGTCAAAACCAGAGAGGTCAGATGGGGATGAGGCCTGAAGAAAGGCCATCAGATTTACCAGTGTAAAAACCTTGGAAACAGAAAGCATAGTTTTTGTCACAAGCTGTTGTCAGAAGTCGTATTGCATGGGTTTGAGAAAGAATGGTGGAGAAGGAACTGAAGGCAGCCATTGTAGTTCACTGAAAGTCGGACTTTCAGCGAAAAGAGGGAGAAGAGCTGGAGAGACTGATAATTTGAGAGACTGATAGGGTTGGGAGAAGGTATTTTCCTTTTATCTATTTTCAATATTCAGTTTTATTTTCCGATCCACATTCTCTTCCTCCCCCCCTCCCCTTGAGAAAACAAGAAAAACAAACCCCTGTTATAAGCATTTATAGTCAAACAAACACATTCCTACATTGGCCATGTTCCGCCCCCAGATAGGTCTCAATCTGCATTCTGAGTCGATCACCTCTCTAATCGGGAATGGGTAGCACATTTCATCACGAGTCCTCTGGAATTGAGGTTAGTTCTTGTGTTGTTGAGAGTTCCTAAGTCTTTCAGAGTTGTTTGTCTTTGAAGTATTGTTCTTGTTGTATACACTGCTCTCCTGGTCCTACTCGCCTCACATTGTATCAGTTCATATAAGTAGGCAAAGGTATTTTTAAGGCTGAGGTAGTAGGGCAAGAGTTATGGCTACAGAGCGATTGAAGATGGAAGAGAGGGGATGGGCCCAAGAGCACAAATAAAGGGCTTGGTCTTAGTTAGGAGACAGCCTAACTTCTGCACTTCTGTGGAGAGGCATGATAGGCAGTACACACCACTATAGATATAAAACTGTCTATAACCAAGGGGCAGATTTTGTACAGTCATGACTAGGGATAGACAAAGCTGGCAGCTGCATAGGGTTTAACACTTTTTTCTTCGGTGGTAGGAAGGCTCAGTGAGGGGCGTTTTTCATGTGACTCTTTAAAAACACATTTATTTATTGCCTGAAAATTTCATTCTTCATGACTTGACATGTTGATGTTTTATTGGTGAATTGTGTGACAGTAAACACTTAGAGCCTCTGGACAGAAATGGTAATGATCTGTATATCCATATCACCTTAAGGTCTATAAAATACCTTAGAACAATTCTGTGAGGTAGCTGGGTCAGGGATTATCCCTTTTGCAGATGAGGAAACTGAGGTTGAAGGAGTTGAAGTGACATTTCTGTGGTCACATAATTACTGAGGTAATGTACAAGGTGGCATGATTTTTGTTCCTTGTCCGAGAGGACACATGTGCTTCCTTCTGCATATCACGTGGAATGTATAATAAGTTTGAATATAAGCTTTGAGAAGAAGGGGACGCTTTATAGGTTGAGAAGTGGAGGGCATTCAGGGCAGGAACCGAGCATGAGCAAAAGCAGAGAAATAGGAAAACTGTAAGTATTATGTGGTGGAGGATGGCATTCTGTCTTTGACTCTAGGGGAAGAATGTGACCATGGGCCTGGCTTTTGCCAGTGTTGAAGACTAGAATGATCAAAGCATGTCCCACGTTGGGGAGACATTGGGAGAACAGGTTGGCTATGTAGGGGTCATAATTATGAAGGTCCTTTAAATGAATTGACACATTAAGATTTAGTGAACTTTTTTTACACAGTAATTCTGCTAAAATCATTATCCTCATTTTACACATGAGGAAACTGAGACTCAGAGAGAATAAGTAACTAAAGCATCTCAAAATTATAAGCTGGAAGGCTCTTTAGAAATCCTAGAGTTCAGCCTCTTCACTTTAAAAATGAGGAAGCTGAGGCCTGGAGAGGGAAGGTGACTTGCCCCAGTTAACTCAGGGAGCCAGAATGGAGGCGGGACTTCCAACGCATGTCTCATGACTCTTTCAGTTGTTCCCATGTGCCAGATGCACAGAAGCACTCACCAGAGAGAAGGGCGGGAAGGCAGGAAGGCAGGCCCTCAGTCAAGTGGAAGAGAGCCAGGTATCATATGGTATACCTTCCATCTCTGTTACTGGTTGGTGGACTGCTTGTGCTCAGGAGTTCTGAGCTACCTCAAGGGGAAGAAACTAGAGCAGATCAGAACTTCTGTGCCACTCAGTACCTGGGATCAGTCCTTGGAGCAGCTTCTGTACTTCTGGCTTGGGTGTGATAGGGAGACCATCTCAAAAGAAACAAAAATTGTGAGTCCTGGTACATAAAACTAAACTATATGATGAACTAACTATATGCTGAAATGCTGGCTGGTAGGATATACAGGCTGTAAGTGATATAAGGGCTCAAGATGGGAGGGGGAGATAATTGCATGGAATGGAGCAGTCAGGCCAAGCTTCACAGAAGAGATGAGCCTTAATCTGAGTCTTGAAGGATAGGCAGAATTTGGATAGAGAATGGGGGATGCAATACCCTAACTAGAACTGTGAGGATCAGAATGAACCTGACCTGTGTGAGGACCAGTGCTTAGACATGACTGTTCCTTGCAGCAGATCAGGTGAGATGGTTTTTAGAATCACGGAGATGGTGGTTGATCTTCCAGGCCACCTTGTTCTTTCTGGGCCAGCTGCCGTATTACCTTTGACTGTTGGCTGTTTAAAGAATGCCAGGCTTCCTCTCTGCTGTGGCCTTCCCCTGAGGCCAGAGTTTTGGACTGGAAGTTAGAAAACCAGGATTCTGATCTTGTATCACTCTCTGTGTGACCCAGAGGCATGTAAGACAATGGAATCTGCATCCAACAGACATTCTCCACAAACTGGAATCTCCACGGATTCATCTTCTAAGTAGATGCAAAATTAACCATGATAAATGTGAAGTCTTATACAGACGTTCAGAAAATCAGCTGTACATGTACAGGAACTGGTGAAGGTTCTGACTACATGTCGGTTTCTGTAAAAAAAAAAAAGAGTTGGGCTGTGTGGTGTGACATGGCAGCTAAAAAGCTCATGTGATCTAGGCCACATTGATAGAAGCCCAGTGTCAAGTGAAGAAGACGCGATCCAAAAGCATCGTTCATTTCTGAGTGCCGTACTTCAAGGTTATTTTGACCAGCTGGACCGCATCCATGGGAAGGTGGACTTGAAACTAGGCAAGGAACTGAGATTGCCTGGTCTGGAGGCGAAGACATGGGGTGGGCATGGTAGTTTGTTTTGGTGTTTTTTTTTTATCAAATATTTGAGGGGCTGTTAAGTACAGAGAAGAATAGACTCATTCTGCTTGGTCCCATAAGTAAGAAGTAGGAGCA